GTGTAAGCAGATTTTGCGTGGAACTACTACCATTACTTAGGGATCGCTGTTATCAAATAGAATATTCGTAGTACATTTCTTACAGCAGCTCAACACATCATTATCTTTTCAGTGTTGTGTATGAAAGATCCTAGATGTATATACCTGGAGCTCGATTTCATCCTTAGCGTTTTTATAAGGTTATGCCACGACCCCCCTGCCCCTTCCTTGGGCGACTCGAAATCGACGACTAGTATTTTTGGTCTTTTATAAATTCGCCATCCCAGCAAAAACAAAAGGTTAGAGTATCGACAGCAGAAATCTCCTCTCACCTGCGGAGGCTTATAATATAGTTGAGAGTGTATATAGCAAAAGATCTTCTAACTGGTCTGACACTTCGTTAGGTCTAGAAGAAATATACGAGTCGTAGAGGAAGTCGTTTAACAATAAAACAAAAAAGACTTGATTTTGATATTCAACAAAAAAGTGATCCTTTTTAAGTTAAATTTATTATTTTAATCGCATTATATCATATTTGCTCTCAAGTTGTTCTTGCTTGCGTACAAAATCCAAATGTTTTTTACAGCATCATCCCGAAAAGCACAAAAAGATAATCATTAAGTAAAATTCTGATTTCAGCAACGCAGCTCCAACTGTACAAAAAAGGAACAGTCCGTGCCATGCCTATCCCTCTTTTTGTAGGCTCCTTTCCAATAAACCCTGGTACATTGAGTGTTTTTCCTTTGTCTCCAGAACGGGATTCTCTTATTCCCGTCTCTCCGCTACACTTCCGTTAGAGCTCGACCTAAAAATCGCAATATACTCCATTCAGTCTTCCTATTTTAATTCAACCTATTTTCGTTACGGTTTTTATTTTTCTGTCCTTTTACCTGGTACAGCTAGTATATTCGCTCTCAAATCAGGTTACATTGTTGGGGGAAAGATACGATTGCAGCATCACAAATAAAATCAAGTAGGTAGAAAATCGATATACTCGTATGTTCACGGACGCGATGCGACTATTTATCCCCCAAGTCAGGGTCTCCCAAAGGGGGCTGGAAACTGTTGCGTAAGGCTTTTATATCAGAAAGTTAGAATAGCGATGCGATATTTTTTTTAATATGATCGTGCCATGGTGTTTTCAAAGTTGAGTATTTTACTTTAAGTGCTTGTAGTACTCGTCAAAAGGAGTTGATATACCAAAAATCACCTATATAAATGTTGCATAATAAAATGGATAGTAAAAGATTAAAATTTTTCGAAAATAAGAATGTTATTACACAGATTTTTTGATATTCTTGCCCACTGCCGTATAAAATCTTAGCGTTTCTTTTTTACTACTCTTATCGTCTGATTATTTTGTGCGAAAAAATGACTTATCTTTACGAAAACAATGAACCAGTGGACATAACACTAACATAGGCAGAGTGCCAATAAAATGCAGCCGCAGCATGCAGGTTGTATGCGGAAAGGTTTTTTTTAGGAAATCATCCGGCCCCACCGATGTTTGTAAATTTAATTGTCAGACTTCGTGAACCGGATATTTAGAACAACGAGGAGGTCACGCTGTGACCTGCTGAAATGTTACAAATTGAGGAAGACATTTTAGAAATGGTCGAAGTCGACCCTACAATAAGTACTGGAGCCATAACAGCTGAAGTTGAAGTTTCTCAAGTAAAGTGTGGAAGACAATACGACAAGAACAGTATTACCCTTATCGTTATCAACGGGTTCAAGCATTACAATCTGAAGATCATCCTAGATAAGTTGCATTTTGTCAGTGGCTTCAAGTACAGCAGCAGCAGAAACGATGATTTTACGAAATTAATTTTGTGTACAGACGAGGCCACATTTACACGAAATAGAGTGCCCAATTTCCACAAAAATCATGTTTGGGTAGTAGAAAATCCGCATGTTGTAAAAAGAACTCATTTTTAACATAGATTTATATTAAATGTTTGGTCTGGGGTAGTAAATGGCTTACTTATTGGGCACTACTTTTTTTCACGTCGACTGACCGTTGAAATTCATTTAGATGTTCTTCGACACAATCTACCACAATTTTCAGAAGATGTTCCTTTAAATATGAGACAGAATTTATGGTTCCTACATGATGGGGCTCCACCACATTTTAGACGAGAATTTCAGGAACATCTAAATAAAGAGTTTCCGAATAGTAGATGGATAGGGCATGGACCCATTTCTTGGACTGCTCGCTCCCAGGATTTAACGCCTTGCGCTTTTTTTCTGTGGGGCTAATCGAAAGATGGAGCAGTAAATAAATACTCTGGAAGAACTTCAACAGCGCTCTGAAAATGCTTGTGATTTAACTCGTGGATACCAGGATTTTATTTTCGAAGCTTCTAAAAAGTCGTGGATTCGCCGAGCAAGATTTTGCGTTAATCGAACAAATGGGGAAAATTTTGAACAGTTTTTGTAAAAATGGTATACATTCAACTTGTTGATTTTTTTTAGATGGTCACTGAACTTTGCAAAGTGTAGTCACTTTCTCTAATAAAAAAGCACCAATCTTTATTTGATTAGAATATTGATTGTATTTTTTTTGGACTGTCATTTAATCAGTAAAGGTCTAGGAGTATTATTCGATTCGCAAATCAGTTTCATGATTCATATTGATAACGGAATTGCTGAAGCATACAAAATGTATGGATTCATCTTTAGAAATTGTCGATCATTTAATAGTGAAGCAGCATTGAATTGTCCATTTTTTTCTTATGTACATTCTAAACTGGAGTACTTGCTGAATGTCTGGAACTCCAGTATTATCAGAAGGAAAGACTGGATAAGCTACAAATGAAGTTTTTCAAATTTCTTGTGTTTAAAAAGCACCACATATCCAGAAAAACGAACTGAGTATAATCCTTTATTAAAGCTTTTTGACATTGGCAGTTTGGAGCTTAGACGGACATTCTCATTCTCATCCCTTATAAATTGATGTCGGTTGTCACTGATTGTCAAGATCTTTTACCGCTTATTAAATTTAACGTACGTCAGTTTACCTCTAGACATTTTATTCTACTGCTGCTATGGCCATTCTAATGTTGAAATCACCATTATCAGTAATGTGTTCACATTATAATAAGATATCGCAGCATGTCGTCATATTTAATTGTGAACTCAAGGAACTCAAGTATGTTGCTAAGATTATGTCACAAAATACTTGTGGAGTAATGCCATCTCTGTGTGCAACAGCTGGTGCTAAGTTGACATAAACATAATGTCACAAGAAACCTATATAGTGTCAAAATAACCAACATAATGTCACTTTACCCCTGCGCATCAACGGTCGACCTTGACAATGACTGATCCAGCTCGACTTCACTAGTCAGGGCACTGATCGATCTGGTGATAGTCTTGGTCAAGGGCATATCCAAACTTAAAAATTTCCCCTTTTTCGGTGTCTGCGGCCAAAAGTATAGGGACTGCTCTAAGAAAGCCGGATTGACCTTGAAATGATCTTCAAGGCCAAGATCCCGAATATCCAAACTTAGAATTTTCGTCTCTTTGGATTTTCGGGTTCAAAAGTACAAGGGTTCCATTTAAGGAAAACAATTTGATCTCGAAATAACCTTCAAGGTTGAGGTCAAAGTCATGGTCCAGATCACCATTTGATTGCTTAAATAAAATCCTACAACTCTTGTCTTAGTTATTTCTTCCTCCGGTCAGTATTTTCTATAACTTTTTGAACAGCCTGTATAATTAGAGGGTTGCGAGCCGCCCTTTTACTTAGGATGTTGCAGCACCATGCCCGGGAGCAGTTATGTTACTGTCAAAGTATTAGAATAGTCTCCGAAACTAAAAGGGTAAAATCCCAGTCTTAACGTTTAAAAGTTTATTATGTAGAAGAAACAAAGAAGTTTCAGATCTTTCCAAAACTGGGGTCTATTTTACGACAAAATCATTGACGGGGTCGAAGTTTTTGAAAGTGTTTAAATTTACTTTTCACCGTTGTTCAATTCATTTAGGAACAGTCTAAGTTTCTTTTGTAAGCCTCATTTTTCAAAGACAACAAACTCTATTTTACCAATATAATAAATAGTAATATATTTCAAAATTGTCTAATCCTTCTTTAATTTCCAGTTTTTCGGGGTACAGATATTTGTTAAAAGTTTAGTTTACATATGCTTCTTACATCATACAAAGGTTAAACGAAGGTTACTACCGACAAACAGGTTTTAGATGCACTATCTCAAATTTGGTGGTACTTGTAGCACAGATGTAGACAGCAAAGTAGCTTTTTTTGAAATTCCCCTAAATCTTTCCACGAGAAGCTAGCAGCGGATTAGGCTAATCATTTTCGGCATCAAATAGAAAGCTGGATAGTTTTCTTTATTTACCATTAATCTTCACTTGAAAGTACTGGTTGTACTGGAAGAATTATGTGTAAAAAGAATATATATGCCAGCATCGAAAAAACTTTCTCGTGAAATGCAGATCACAATTAGCCAAAACCTATTGCGAGCTTCTTAACAAAGGATTACCACTAACTAGTTCAATATAATTACGATGCCAGTTAGACTGAAATACGTCAAATCAATAAATTTCGTAATATTTGAGTCTATAAAGCTTGAAAACATATATAATAGGACGAAAAATTAAAATTCAAATCTTAATCATACCTTTTCCTTATTTTCAATATTGTTACGGCGCCGCCGATGTTTCATAAGCAAACTAGGACAAATATTGTTAAAGTCCTTTTTAGCATGCCAAAAGAAAATATATACACGAGTGTATCTTTTTTCGCAAGATATAAGATTTTTTCGCTCCGATGTAGTACGGTGTATTGAGGTTTGAAATTTTTTAGAGCGACCCGTGCCTGCTGATTTTATTTTCAAGTCGTTTTTTATATACCTATAAGCAAAGGTCTTTCAAGAATATTGTAGGACTTGAGATGACATTAAACTGTTAAAACCATTGCTGACAGAAATTCGTAGTTAAGCGATGCTTTGCATTATTGTTGTGTTATTATAATGAGACTAAATAAATACCGTACCTATTACCTGCTAGTTCCTCTATACTAGAAAAAAAACAATACTACTAAAGTAGCTTTACACCTACATCTGGAACTGTTTCTATATCTCGAAAAATTGTAAATGACTAAAAAACACAAAAACATAGAAACATATCTTGACAAGGTTTCCATTTGTTATGCCCTGGCATGTATACCGACATGCAGAGGTTTTTAATAAATATTACAGCATTTCCCACTTCGATTCCGCATGATAAAAAAAGCTACTATACTCGGGCGCCCATGCTAACGTGGCATCTTTTTGAACGTGACGATGCAGTATCGCGCCGTGCACGCAACACCAGCGATTGCAAAGTTATTTCGAATTATGAGCACATTATACATCGGAAGCTTCTTAATGATAAAACGTACTTGACTAATACTAAAGACGTGACATTTACAACCCCTACCCCCTACAACCACCAACCAGCAAGTTCCAACCCCCACAAGAAATTTTCCGAAAATGATCAGGAGCTCTCGACATAGCAGTAACCTTGTGAGGAAAATTTCATCAAAATAGGTACTTCTTCGACAATGTTGGCATAGGAAGTCAAAGCGACATTTTATCTTTAGCAGGTGCGGAATAAACTAGCGGCACAGTAGCAGCTACCTAGTGCACAAGTTGATGTTTACCGATTTGTATAGGCAGGATTTTGATATTATATAGGGTTTTTACGTAATAACCTTGACGCGCGGTACCTTCTTCAATTCAAAGAACCACCGCGTTAGCATGGGCGTGAGATATGTTCTGCTGCTGACTTCCTCTTCGGTACTCGAGCATAAGACATAAAAAATCTCTCACTTTAGAAAACGGTCGCTACAATAATACCCTTATCGCTTAAAGAGTCAAAGTAAAGCCTACATTCTCAGACTTCAATATTTTACTATATACAACACGATTACTATACCAACAACGTGTTCGTATATCTACATTTGATTCCTTAAATCCCAATTTATTGAAAAGTAAACACCACAAATCAAGGTCGGACCAACCTTACGAGAAAACGAGTATACATCATCGGAAGACCTAATTGTTCTTTCTTTAACTTTCTGCGCCATTTTGAGAATTTATTGCATGTTTGGGTGCTTCATGATTGAGTCTTTATTTAAGGAATGAGTATCTACTTCTGACTATTCACCTTAGAAAAAGTATTTTCTTGCAGCCTACCTTGATATTCTCTATGCTGTTAAAGTTCAAAAAAGTATCTGAGCTAAATAGGTGCTTTGAATAATCGAATTCCGATAATATTATACGCCTGTCATCATTTTCCCTTGCCTATTTTATACCAGATTAGAGTTTAATTACGTCTACATTTTATTAACATATTATTTTGTTTCAGAAGAAAGTCCAGCAGCCATCTTGCCAGCGAACGGTAGTGGTAGAAAATCACCACTCCTCTCAAGTATACTTTTAGCCCTATTCATAAATTTGATACTTCACTTAGATAGATGAAAATATTTTGATGGGTTACCTCATAATTTTGTATAAATTGTACAGATTGTAAATATTTAGAATATTTTCTATTACTTGGAATTATAGGATATATTAACCGTTGATCAAAACTAACAATGTCTGGGCTCACATTGTACGAAGAAAGCAGGTTGAAAATTTTCTTGAGAGCCTTAACTCTGCCTCAGAGATACAGTGTAAAAAATTCAGTTCACCATTTTTGGTAGCATCTACAATGTTCCAATGCCAGAAAGCTTACAAACATAATATTAGCAATCCAAAGGATCACCGATCATAAGCGGATTTGTAATTCCCTGGAAAAATTTCAAATTTCAAGTTGATCGCAGTGGAGAAATGTTGATATTTAAAAACATATGTATTTAAACATTTCTTTTTTCATCTGAAACTTATCCTGTGGTCTAATTCCCCATATTTCTCTGGTCAATCAAAACCACATGTGTTTAAAAAATCTTCTTTATTGTAAACGTTTCGGTCACAATGGTGAACCTCTTCAGTACAATGACTTTGAGGACCGTTCACACTATTGTAGTAACACACTGAACAGGAATATGAGGATGAAATGTAAAAACAAACAGTATCACCTGGAAAACAGATAAATAAAATATATTGTCCAAGTAATTGTACAAAAGACCACCGTTATGATAGAAACGTTTGCAATAAAGATTTTTTCATGTGGTTTCGATTGGAAAGAGAAATATGAGGGATAATTTAGCACTGTTGTTCTAAATTCACCTATTTTCCAATTTCAACTTACTGTTTTTATATGAGCACAAGATCTAGCCAGCTCCCACTTGAAATATCTAATAATTACACCGAGACTAAAACGTACACCTATATAAATATAAAAGTGTTTATATACGTGTACGTTTGTTTATATACGTCTGTCATTGCGCTCACAATATACACAAGACTTGAAGTCTCATTAAAATTTGTTATTTATTCGTTCCATTTCCATTTTTGTACAGGATGTACTGAAAGTTGGACTTTGCTTTCAGAAACAACTACGTTTGCAATAACAAACTAATTTGTGATGAAACAACAGCAACAAAATTTAAAAAAAATAGATCAAAAAGTACTCACCGTTCATAGAGAAGAAATTCCACGTACAGCTCTGTCGCTTGTAAGTAGTGTTCAAAGTTGTCTGCGATAGATTCAAAGACCCAACTATGTACTCGACATACTCAAGTATCAGTGTAGGCCTTTACAATGGACTGCCTTTCCCGAATGAATGCAGCAGATTACTAAATTGTTCGTCAGCCATGTTCACCTCAGTTTTATACACTACATATTTCATTTCGCTCCAAACAAAAAAAGAAATCACAAAGTATTTTGCGAAACGACCTGCATGCACTTGCGAAGCTTCGGTAGCATTTCGTAGACACTCACCGTAAATTAAAATAATTTGCACAACTCCGATATTGCTGCATGAGTGTGCCATTTTGGTTTTGTTTTTTTTAGAACCGATGTGTAAAGGTTCTGCTTACCACTGTGGCAGCGCCTGGATAGAGTACTGATGAGCATCGTACGTGTTCACGTTTGATCTCACCGAAGTGCAGGATCGCATTAGGTGCTGCTTAGGTTTGATTTACCTTGCAGAACCTAACGTCTCGGTAATCTTAAGATGTATATATTACTAGAAAAAACTGCTTGCTTTTCAAGATATATACGCCTTGTAAAGGAATGGCCTCACTTTGAGGTCACCGTATATGTTTTGTGTCTTAATGTATTTTATTATAGATTTGAATAAGAAAGTGATACTATCGGGCGTTCATAAAAAGAGTAACTTAAAATATTTGTAAACGGGTGAATTTTGGAAAAAAACGCCAGAACTGCGAATTGGTCTTTCAACGAACAATCACGTATCAAATAAAAACAAGAATTTTGATGAATGTTTAAAATATTTATGTTCTAAAATATTTAAGTGCAAGTATACCATAAATGCGATCAACTTGAAATGTGAATTATCTTCAGGGCAAAAAATCCCACTTTTCAAACCGCAGTTCGTTCAACGTTGGCCCATGCACCTTCATACTGTTCAAATCAATGTCACCAGTCAGTGAAGCAGAGTAAAACGTAATGGAGCATTTTCGAGTAACGTCACAAATGAGAATGATCTGTTTTCGACAGTGTTGATTGAGGACAATTCATTATAAATGGCAGCGTCAAACGCTGAATACAATTGCAAAGTTAAATGAACATTTCATGTGACCAAGTGAGCATTGCATTGAAATGGAAATACAAAGACAGAGGTTCAAGGGCTTCAAAGCTATCCGTATCCATGTGTGAATATTGTATAGAGAGTAATTGAGGTAGACATGATAACAGCTTACGTATTGAAAGGCTCAGTCAGCTTGCGGTCCTGGAAACTAAGTGTTTAAAAAGTGTCCATGCTGAATAAGAATATCGTATCGAACAATTTGCATATTTAGTTGTTATACATCATATAATTATTTAATTATTGATATAATGCGATATCAGTGTAACATTCAGGAAATCCTAGATACATTGATGAAAGCCTCCTGGAAGCTGTCTTATGGAGCAGATAGAATTTGTTTTGAGAAGGCGTGTTTTCACTCTTGCAAAGCCTCTCCTATATTCAATTTATCCCTAGATTTCGATGTATTTTCTGACTACTGGAAAAAGAGTTTTCAACACCAATTCAGAAGTCTGGTCCCAAGAATGATGTGCAAAACTTTCAGGCAGTATGACTCCAATCCGAAATTCTCAAGCGTTTAGATTACCTGGTATGAATGACCACTCGGCATTTAAGTAATGACGCATGGTTTCACAGGAAAATGAATCTTAATCATTTGTGAGAACTTCATAATCACTGCTCTTGAAAACAAGCTTCAAGTAGACTCCATCTACACGGTTTATATTCGACAGAATAAATCACAATCTACTTTTGACTAATTTAGAAAATTTGGGACTATCAACTATCCTTATTTAGAAGCTACCTGTCAGGACGAATACAGTGTGTTAGATACACTGGATCATTATCTAATCCCATTAATATCTTTTCAGGTGTACCCCAAGGCTTCCACATTGATCCAGTTTTATTCAGTTCATTTGTTAATGATGTTGCAGAATCTGTATCAAATTCCGGTGGTTTGATTTTTGCAGATGATCTTAAATTATTCACAACATTAGGAAATATCCACAATCCACTTACAAAATATAAATCTTACTGGGTGGTGTAGTAAGTAATAAGATATACGTCAGTTTGAATGACTGCTACCAGATAGCTTCAGCCGTAGTTCAAATTCTCTCAAAGTTGAAAACCGTGACCTCATGAGAACTGATATGGTTAGGGATTTATGAATAGCGTTTGATACAAAATTAACTTTAAAACACACAGCGAAGTTACTTTTAAATCATTGGTGCGGAGTATTTTTTTGGAGTACAAAACAGTATTACAGGCGCCAAATTTAAGTAACTCCATGAAAGCAGTGCAAGGTAAATTTTTTAAACAGGCAGATATTAAAATGGGTCGAAGTCAGAATGCTTCAGAACTAATGAGTACGTTGAACCTTGAAAC